TAAAATGGATTCCCGCGTGCACTAGATAGTCCCAGGGGAGTTGGGGGTTAGGCGCGCACCTCCTGCAAGTCACGGGAGCCGTGGTGGCACGCCTGCGAGTGAGAGGCTGTGCACTATGAGGCACATGTGCTAAAGAAGGCGGTGAGCCTTGTACTCACGCCTGCCACTTCCACGAAACGCATGACAACGCCACCAAAATCAAATCCCAGGTGCACTAGACCCAGGGGAACGTCGGCAATAGACGCGCAACTCCGGGAAATAACGGGCGACGGAGTGGCATGCGTGAGAGTGAGATACTGTGCAAAATGAAGGGGGGTAGATAGTCCCAGGGAACATGGGGAGTAGCCGCGCACCTCCTGCAAATCACGAGCGCCGGCGTGGGACGCCTGCGAGTGACAGGCTGTGCACTATGAGGCACATGTGCTAAAGAAGGCGCTGAGACTTGTACTCACCCCTGCCAATTCCACGAAACACATGACAACGCGGCCAAAATTGATTCCCGGGTGCACTAGATAGTCCCAGGGGAGTTGGGGAGTAGGTGCACACCTCCTGCAAATCACGAGCGCCGGAGTGGCACGCCTGCGAGTGAGAGGCTGTGCACTATGAGGCAGATGTGCTAAAGAAGGCGGTGAGTCTTGTACTCACGCCTGCCACTTCCACGAATCACATGACGAAGCGGCCAAAATGGATTCCCGGGTGCACTAGACAGTCCCAGGGTACTTGGGGAGTAGGCGCGCACCTCCTGCATATGACGGGCGCTGGAGTGGCACACCTGCGAGTGAGAGGCTGTGCATTATGAGGCACATGTGCTAAAGAAGGCGGTGAGACTTGTACTCACGCCTGCCACTTCCACGAAACAAATGACAACGCGGCCAAAATGGATTCCCGGGTGCACTAGATATTCCAAGGGGAGTTGGGGAGTAAGCGCACACCTCCTGCAAATCACGAGCATCGGCGTGGCACGCCTGCGAGTGACAGGCTGTATACTATGAGGCAGATGTGCTAAAGAATTAATCCCGTTTCTCCAAAATTCATTGAGAAAAAATTGAAAATCGGGGTGAAGAAAGGATATAGCAACTTGGGATCTATTTCATTTGGAGAATGGATTCCTAGACTTTACCCCGTTTTTCTATAATTTGTTGAAAAATGGAAAATTGGGGTAAAGATATAATACGGGAACTTTGGGTATTATCCACTTGTAGCATGAATGCTCAGAATTTACCTCGTTTTTCTAAAATTCATTGATCAAATGGAAAATCGGGGTGAAGATGGCATATGGGAACTTAGAGTATGAGCTACCTGTGGGCCAAATTATCAAAATACATTCCTTTTTTTCTAGAATTATTGAAAAAAAAGTGGAAAATCGGGTTAAGGATTGGCTATGGCAACTTGGGATCTATTAATTCGGAGAATGAACTCTTAGAATTTACCTCGTTTTTTGTCGAATTTACTGAAAAAAAATGGAAATTCGGCCATATGGGAACCTCGGGTATTATTCACTTGTAACATGAAGACAATTTACCCCATTTTTCTCGAATTCGCTGGACAAATGGGAAATCGGGGTAAAGATCATCATATGGGAGCTTAGCGTGTTAGCTACTTGCGGATGAATTCGTAGAATTAATCCCGTTTCTCCAGAATTCATTGAAAAAAAAAGAATGGAAAATCGGGTTGAAGCCTGGATAAGCAACTTGGGATCTGATTTCATTTGGAGGATGAATTCTTAGATTTTAATCCGTTTTTCTATAATTTGTTAAAAAAAATGAAAAATCGGGGTAAAGGTATCATATGGGAACTTCGGGTATTATCCACTTGTAGCATGAATGCTCAGAATTTACCTCGTTTTTCTAAAATTCACTGATTAAATTGAAAATCGGGGTGAGGATGGCATATGAGAACCAAACGTACTAGCCACTTGTGGGCCGAATTCTCAAAATTCATCCCATTTTTCTAGAGCACATTGAAAAAAAAAACAATATGGAAAATCGGGTTAAAGATTGGATTTGGCTCTCTAAGATCTATCCCACTCGAAGGACGAATTCTCAGCATTTATCCTGCTTTTCTAGAATTCACTAAGAACACAAGCATTTTTTAAATGTGGAATTTTTTCTATCTTCTATTTGACTAAGACTAGCGAGCCGCACAAAGAAACACTTTTTGTAGTTGTAATCTTCTCATTTATTTCAAGAGCATGGCACTTGTTTATTTCGGACGCGTTTCGACCCCAATTAAGACTTCTTTAGGGAATGATTACAATTAAAGAGGAACAGTACATTACATAGCGCGTTGTGTCTAAGTTTCTATAGAAGTTAATTAATTAATAACAACTGAAAGCGGGCCGGCGTTATAAAAAACTTCTAATTACAATTAAGCTATTTGCGTATTGCTTTAAGTTAAGGGGCTAACGATTAGCGCTAATCGTAGAATTCACCGCTGAAAAAAGAAATGGAAAATCGGGGTAAAGATGGCATATGGGAACTTTGAGTCTGATCCACTTGTAGCGTGAGTCCTCAGAATTTACTCCGTTTTTCCAGAATTTCTTGAAAAAAAAAATTGAAAATCGGGTAAAGATTGAATATGGCGAGTCAGTGGGAGCCACGTTTTTCTACTCATTGAAAAAAGATGGAAAATCGGGGTAAAGTAGATTAGATGTGGCAAGTCCGATGATGGAATATATTCGACTTGGAGGATGAGTTACTAGAATTTTCTCTGTTTTTCTATAACTCCTCGAAAAAATTCCAAAATCAGAGCAAGATGGCATAAGGGAACTACGGGTATTATCCGCTTGTAGCATGAATTCTCAGAGTTCACCCCGTTTTTCTAGAATTAATTCATTAAAAAAAAGGAAAATCAGGAAAGTTTTGACATGACAACGTAGGTTATATTTCACTTGCGGTATTAATTTTAAGAATTTACCCTTGTTCTCTAGAGTTCACTTAAAAAAAAAATTGGAAAATCGAAGCAAAAATGGCATTTGGGAACTTCGGGTATTATCCCCTTGTAGCATGAATTGTCAGAGTTTGTCCTGTTTTTCTGGAATTGATTCATTGAAAAAAGAGGAATTCGAAAATTGGGGTAAAGATTGGATATGACAACTTGGGATATACTCCGCTTACGGTATAAATTCTCATAACCTACCGTCCCCTTTTTTCTGGAATTCTTTGAAATAAAAATAGAAGACCGGGTTCAAGATTGGATATGGAAACTTAGAATGTATTCTACTTATGGGGTGAGTTTTCAGAATTAACCCCGTTTTTTCGGAATTTATTAGAAAAAACTGCTCTTCCATAACTATTTCTTGTTCCAGCCAGTCCATGTTAATCACATGCTCTTCAAAACATAAGATATGTATCACTTAGTAATATCAATATACGACATTTTACAAAGCTGTTTAGCCCTGAGCCTCTGTGGTTTAATACTTCCTTCAAAATCCGTAAACATGGCCGTCCAGTGATGGCCTTTGTCAAAAATATCACCACCAATGTTCATACTAGAGATACAATAACGTTCACCCTAGAATGTGCACATGAACCATTAGGGAGAGTACCTCTTTCCGTGCCAATATTCTTTGATATGCCTGATACCTAAGTCACTGATTATTAATTTTTAAGTAATGTTATAAGTGAGAAAACAGTAGTTTGATTGCTTCTCAGGGATGAAATGCACCAGTACTTAACTACGCCAGACACCCTCATCTGAAGTTGTGTGTAATTCATAACAGCCTTGTTATTTCATGATAGGTGATAAACCTCAAAGCAACTTCAATAACTCCCTTAAAACATTCAATTCAAAAGAGACGATTTCCTGTTGAGTTGTTAGGTTAGCCAAAATTCTGTTCTATTCTGAAAGTATAAGAAACCCTCTCAGGATGGCAGAGAAGAAATTAGTTTATCTCACCACGTGGTCCTCCATCTTGAGCCATGGTAGCCAACTCAGCAAAAATTGATCAACAATCCTATTTTACAAAGAACCAGAGAATATGGGTGGTTACCAGTTTGCTCGGCTCTCAGGTATTCAGAGAAAAACATAAGAGGATATGCAGAGGCTAAAGCCACTGTGTATCAAAGCATTCACTTCAACATATAAAAGTAATGTAAATTTTTTGTTTTTAGGGCAGATTTATACGATATGACTTAATCGCATGCGACAAGCTCAAGGTTAGTTCCCACTTTCGTGGGTATCCTTTGGGAAAAAAGATTGTTTGCACACTACAGTAGTTTCACTAAAATCTTAGCAAACTATATATCAGAAGAAAGCTTCATAAATGTTTACGATAAAAATGTCTCAAGCAACTTTTCTTTTAAGGATGTGTCAAGATCCAGTAAGGCGTGAGATGACCGAAGGGTCTTCTACTGAACATATTGGATCTGGGATGCTGCAGCACGAGCTAATTCGCTGCACAGTCTTATTCACACTTATCACACAACACCTGTGCAAAGCATGTCAATTAAAAATAACAAATATGGAGAGTGCAGACTACTTTCAATAATTTATATTGCAAGTAATTTGTTCCTTATCATCATTATTTTGTGTTTACTTTCTATTTACAGACTCAATTGGCTGTAGTAAAATAAAATTAAAAAAATTTTACCTTTAGTTACTTCTCAAAGTAAGAAATCACAAGACTAAACAACAAGTGTAGAAACTTAGACATACTTAGGCTAAAACTCTGATTCAAAAATAAAAAACCACCCCCCTGCAAAAATAAAAATTATACCAGTCTTTGATACCATCCTGTTACTCTCCAATTTATTTTCACTTTTCTTTGCTTTTAATTTTTTAAAAACATATCATGCTTCTTCTCAATGGCAAGAGCCTGAGTTTCCAAGAAAACCCAAATAACCAGAAAGAGTATTGGCAA